AAATTAGTTACTAAGTTTTTAGAACATGAAAACCCATAGCGGTGTTCCAGTCTATTAATGCCATCTCTATAGACTGATTCGTCAAGCTCCTCAGTTTCCTTCTTTTTTTGAAAATAATTAATAACATTCGAAACAAGTTTTCTACTCTGAGAATTTTAAACTTCTCGGACCATTTCGTTGAAAGTTAACAACAAAAAATAAAAATAAAAACAACAATAACAACAGCAAAAACAATGACAACAATAGTTACAACGAAAAAATAACTAAACGATATATGTAGAGAGATGACTATTCGCACCAATACACCAACTAAATTAAGCCGACCCTGTAAATTTGCCCATTTTATGTAGGTAGAAATGACAAGACAAGCACGTTTTCAATCGTCTCATTCTATTCGATTGGTTCTTATGAAACGTAGGTACAAGCCTCGACGCCGCTGTGGAGGAGGCATGTCTAGAGAATAAAGACAGAATATCTTCCGTTTGTAAGAACGAGGAAAACGATATGCCTTTAGTGTGCATTATTTATTGGGGACTTTGCCTTCTTATTTCGACTATACTATAAAACTTTTTCTTTGCCCTACGTCATTCTGCGCGCGATAAGAGTTACCTATCGACGCTTCATACTGCTCGCTGTCCTGCTCGCAGGTGGCATTTCCAATATAATCGTACATTTAGAAATAACTGCATCGGTTTACGTTCTTTGTGTTTTTAACAATTGAAACTTAGCATAAAAAGACTAAGTGAAGGTATAGTTTTATTATCGTCCTAACCGACTGGCATGGCCTAGAGGTTTAGTCCATTGTGTAGTATTCGGGAGAACGCAAGTTCGATTCCGGATCCGTTTGCCTTGGTCCAAGTTTTTCTGTGATTTCCTTGGATCACTTAGGTAAATGCTAGGGAATAATATTCCACAGATAATCTTTCATTCTCCTCTGTATTCATTTCGTTCAACTAATCTTTCTTACCCGAACCACCACCCACCCATTCCCACGATTCCTTAAAGGAGGATGAAAAGAGCCTTCCGCACTACCTTCCGGCGTAGTCCGGAAAGACTGGCCGTCCACCAGCAGTAGTGGCTGGTGGGAATGAAACTCCCAAAAGTTTTTTGTCTTTTATCATCTTATCAAATAATTTGTCTTGTATCGGTACACACCTACAGGTAGTCTACAGCTAGACGACATTGATAATACTTTGAAAAGAATTTTAATACTGTTCTAATTAAATTAACGATTGCATTTATTTATTCTTATGTGAGTAGACAGTTGTTATTTTCAACAAATGCATAAGTTTTAAAAGAAACAATTAAGGGATATTCACATTTGTTGTTTTTATTTGATATTTATATAACTTGATGAAGAAATATAATAAAAAATTAGTAAATAAATACATAAAGTGCACTCTCTACATACCTTGTAATTTAAAGAATCATTTGAAACAACTTTTCCAATTCGCCAGTGGTAATAGCCCAAGTCCGTGGCTTTCGGCCAAATTTTCTTAGTTCCTGTAATGTTTTATTAGCAGTTGGTAATCCGAAAAAACTACCTTACCTTTAAAAATGGGTTTCCAGTCTTCCGTTTTCAGTCTTTGTGCGTAGTCTATGTATCCGGAGATTTCGAAGCCTTTCTTTGTATAATGTCTTACAAAAATAATTGTCTGAAACAAAATAATAAAGAATTTTTAAGTATTTATTATATAATTTGATAAAGATTTTGTACCTAGTCATTTATTAGCAGAAGTATTTTATTTGGTTTATTACACCTAATATTAATTTTAGTTTAAACAACTGTCAGGGCTTCCGACACCAGATAACGGGGGTAGAAAAGGTTAGAAATGAAGAGGTATTAGAAAGAATAG